TTACGGCAGCGGTGTCGCGAGATTTATTCGTATTGATTTTCCTAATGCCTTGCTGGGGGAATGCCGTAGCGCGGTGGAGAGCCGGAGAGCCCGGGAGGATTTGTGTTGCCTCCGGTGGCAGAGGAATTCAGCGGAGAGAGAGAGAGGTCATTGATTATTCGGAAATCCCTCACCAAAAAAAATGTTAAATACCCAATCACTTGAGTGAGAAATAATGAGAGCACATTTCGATTTAAAGCTTTCGTGACTGCAGGGATTCATCTTCTTGGTTCTATCGGTAAAGTCACGTAGAAGGGAAGTAATAAAATAATACAAATAATATTATTATATTATCTTATTATGTTTTAATTTTATTATTTTATTACTTCCCTTCTACGCGACTTTACCGAAAGAACCAAGAAAATGAGAGCACATTTGGCTATGTATGGTGCGAAAGAATATCATTATACATACGTAAAGGTGCAGCCTTTGAAATGACTTCCTCATGGCATTGCTGCTGGAAGGACCTCTGCTAGAGAGAGAGAGCTCTCGAGAGGACATCCATACCGTTATTTTGGCCTACTCTTCCATGCTGGCCAAAAAACATCTTGGAAGAGGCGGGTGTACCCCACCACATGCCACCTGCCGATCGACTCACTCTGGTGAACCCATTCAGACTGCTGGGTGGACAGAGGAGACGGGGGAATTTGAGAAAAAAAACGCTCACCGTTGTTTCACCTGCCATGCCGGAAATTTTAATTTTTCATTTCACCAGGTAAGGCCCACTGAGCTATATAGTTTATTTTCAGAAGCGACCTGGCCACAAATGATAGCGTAACAAAGTGGCTTATCACGTGGCAATGTATATCAGCCAAATACTCTAAACGCGTGTTTCTAAATGTGGAGGAAAAAAATCAGACGGACCCGGAGAAAGATCCACGCGACCACGTGCAATAAAAAATGTCCACGTGATAAATCCACTCTGTTGGGCTATCATTCGTGACCGGGGTAGCTTCTGAGAAAGAGCTACAGTAAACAGCTCAAGCGGGGCCTTACCTGGTCAAATAAATAATAATTTACGTGCGAGCCCGGTGTGGTTACACCACGAAAGCATCCCCCCACACTTGCGTCTACACCCACAAACGACGTGCTAATAATGGCTCACACACCTGGCGGATCTGCCTGCCAGAGGACTGAGATTGAGTGTGTGGACATTGCTGGCTGGGGATTCTGTAATTAGGGGCGCGCGCGTGCACCAGCAACAGTGGGCGGCCGGCTCCGTGCGATTGATATCGCGGTAACGACCCGGCAAAAAAGAAATACCCGTGCATCGCTAACGAGCCGACCTGCGTGTTTTTTGTTGTTGCAATCTCAACGCGTGCGCGTGCTTGGACGTATCGATGTGGGGGGCAGCGACGCTGTCTTCGCTTGACACAGGGGAAAGCCCTCACATTCCCCTAATGCTACAGCAAACAAGACAAAAGATCCCCCGTGTAGCCTTTGCAGACTGTAGGGGCAAGCTGCTGTTAGCGAGCACCTATGGAGTGCCGGCACGCCGCACGAGGGGGCGGGTGGCCAACACCCCGCCCGGCCGCCTTTGTCTCCCCAGAGGCGATGTTGACACACCGCACCAGGTGCTCATTTGAGGCTGAGTCGACCTAGGGGAGGCCCAGGACCGGCTGAGATAATCGTCACCGGTGTTGGCCATGAGCGGGAATTGAACTCGGGTCGCCAACACGCGCACGTGCACGTTTCGGAGGCGCGGTCCACGCGTCCGACACACGTTCCAATGAGCGCAATGGCATTTTCGTCGTTTTTCAAGCGCCAAGCGCCGTACAAAAATGTGTAACGCGCGTCATTTCACAATTATGTTAAGGATTTGCAGGAAAAGGAAAATGGAAGTGGAATATTAAAAATGTTGCGGTGTTTCTATTGTAACTGTATATCATCATTTTTTTTTTCATTTTTATGGAATATTAACAATTACGTGGACCGTTAACAAAACTAAAGCGGGCTTCGGGCAGGACGCGTCGCTCGATGGGAGCGGCGGTGTGAGCACTTCCGCCGACGGAGATGGAGTGATGGAATCGGCTCGTGCGCAGGAGCTGTGCGGATTGTTGCATCGCAAAGCCGCAAGATATGCCGACGGTTTGGGAAGGGCTTCGTCCAGCGGTGGATACACAGTGGTATTTTTATTGTACAGAAGCGAGAGAAACGCAATCCAAATTTCGATTTAAAGCTTTCGTGACTGCAGGGATCTTCTTGGTTCTTTCGGTAAAGTCACGTAGAAGGGAAATAATAAAAGAATAACAATAAACATAATAAAATTATTCTCACGACGTTTCGGCCACAACGCAAGCAGCCGTCCTCAGGTGAAGAACAGGTCTGTCGGAAAGACAGCGTCTGAAGATGTTAACAAATTCAGACGCTGTCTTTCCGACAGACCTGTTCTTCACCTGAGGACGGCTGCTTGCGTTGTGGCCGAAACGTCGTGAGAATTATTTAATGTTTTATTTTTATTATTGTATTATTTCCCTTCTACGTGACTTTACCGAAAGAACCAATAAGATAAAAAACGTAATCCACTTATGAATAAATATGCATCCTATCTCTCAGAATGCCCTGCAGCTTTCTGGAGATGCAATTGCACCCAGATGTTAACCAATCCAGATTGTATTGCTCTGCTCAGATATCTATTTGCATGTAAATATGTGCCTCGGTTTGTCCAATTAAACGTTTAAGTGCCAGCGTACGGGCCACCTGTGGCTACGCGAATGAACATGGAAATGAGGAACGCCTGTTGTTGGCAGTGGCGCAGAGTGAAAAACGCACACTCCTCAATAACAACAGCCTCACAGTAGCGGCACATCTAGAGCAGGTTACTGATTACAGGAAATGGCTCAATCGGAGCAGCAGAGACAGAGAGGCAGTGATTTGTAAGGCAGCGTTTGCTAACGACGGATGCGTTGGGGTTTTTTTTTGGCTACGCGATTCCCATCTGCAGTTACGTGCGAGAATACAGCAGCCAGACCAAAGGAGATTTCTGAAAATTTGGGCGACCTCGCCGTCGACTTCTCAAAATCCTACCGAGAGGTGTAATTTTCAAGATAATGACCCACGTGGCTTTAGAAGCTACGGGCCGGCTCATTTTCGGCACAGGTTAATGGTCTTGACAAATACTGTCGCATACTCTTTGGTTTTTTCCGGCAAAGTCACGTAGGTAATATTGTTGTGACAGGTTCTATCGGAAGATGGAAGCTTGTGTTATTTTTTTTACCTGCGTAACTTTACCGAAAAAACCGAAGAGTATGAATCCTTGCAGTCACGAAAACTTCAAATCTAGAAATACTGTCGCGTGAAACGGAATGCGCCAATCTCCGCCATCCCCCAATGCGGATAAGAAAATAAATTCGGTTCAAGTGAGTAGGTAATACATCGTCCGTGTTCTATCGGCATTTCCTCCCTTGTCAATAAAAGGTGTCAAAATACAAAAAAAGTGGAATTACAGTCCTAAGTGGGTGACATAATATGCCGAGGCAAAAAAAATCAACGTCACGATTTAGCACGGCTGGCTACGTACGGTGCGAAGGAAGTTCGACACACTGTGTTGATGAGGGACCTCCCCATGCCGTACAGGCCGCAGGGGATAGTGGACCACACTTCACGACGCTGGTCGAACGTGGATTGGTGAAGATGGGGATGCGTAGATGATGTTGGCGCATAGAAAGTACAGTAAAACAACAGATTATTCCGCACTGCACTCAGCTGACAACATAGTGCCGTAGCAGCCTATACCACCTTTTGTTAATACAGGCTGGTCATCCATCCACGCACTTTAAGAATAGTTTTTTTTTACCCTTTCTGGCAATAAAACAGGTGTTAAGATGTTAAAACACCGGACTACTTTTTGCAAAGGAGTCGTGCCTGCATTCACCTACAACATGATGTAGCTGCTCATCCCAGAGCTATAAATGCCCTGATAGTGCATTGTCTTTGTGCTGTTCGCCTTTTGGCGTCCTCTGGTCTAACACTGATTGAGACTAGGCCCTAAAGAAGGCTGTCTCTGGTGTGGACCAATCAGCTTCAAAGTACAATGCATCATCATATACTACCAGAGCATGTTTCTGTTTGCCTGTTCACCACAAGTACGTGTGGTTAATGCAGACATGACTCCTTGCAAAAGGTTTCTATTTGGTGTTTGAACATCTTAACACAACAGTTTTATTGCCAGAAAGGGTAAAATCTATTATTAGACTTTGATACTGGCAAGAGAGGTCCCATGTCATCCAAACACTGTCTGGCCTCAAACCTGCGTAGCTTCTGAGATTGGGTACATGCTGAGTAATTTAACCCAGTTCCCAGGTGTCTGCAAGTTGCAGGGTGGGTGTCCCGTTCGCCGTCCGAATCTCGGAACGCGCAAGCGGTTCGGCATTAATTTTACTTAGGGAGGCGTAGCGCCATTGTTTTTAAAGACATTGTACTCGCTCGCCGCAGAGAAACGTAGCGACACGACCGCACTCTATGATATAGCTGGCGTCAAACTGTGCCACACGCCCAGCTGCGTGGCCTTGTGGGAGCCTCGGTTCCAAAAAAGTTATTTTTAGTTTTCTTCACGATTCCGTTCTGATGACGTACACGTTCCTATAGCCTTGCTGGATTCATGAACTGCGTGCTAGTTTCTTTGTCTGCTGTACTATCATTTAATGCTCTCGGCTGGTGGCGTCTTCGCATCACGCATCTTGAGGATCTGTGTTTAGCATCTGCGACAACATAAAAAGTAAAGACTTGAGTAAAAAAAACCTCCGAAGGTGCCGCGCACAAACAGACGGCGCCGTGTTTTTTGTTCAATCTCCTGCGGCCGTTTTACGTTTTTTATGCTTTGCGAGCGCCAATTCGGCCACCCTCACTCGCCGTTATTTGGCATCAGTTGCTAAATAATAAGCGGACGAGATTACTCCCCGTGAGTGAGCTCATCGTGCCGCGCGTCCCCCCGCCGGCGAGCGTTTGCAAAGTTCACTCACTTCTCCGTCATGGCGATTTGTTCCAGCATTGCAGAGCCCGTGTTGGCCTTCCAGTTTCCCGAGATGGAGGTCCTCCTGGGTAAAAAGACACGGGGTCAGCTGGTTTCACTCACTCAAGTCTCAGTTCGTGAGTTCGTTAACACGGTGACGCGCGTTCTAAACGCACCGCCGGTACTTGTCCTGTGACGTTGACGCAGATCGTTGCTTAGGATTCTGTAAGTGACCCCCCCCCCAGCTGATTATCCCTCCCCATCGAAGGTTCGGACAGCCAAACTAAAGCAAAGTAATGCTGTACAGACATTCACATACACAGCACGAGGGACGGCAGTGCAGTATGGTGCAACATTGCAAAACAATTACTTTGGAAGAGAAGTTCATCGTCAATAATGATCAATCCATTGATGAATGAATGGGCATTCCCAAGCCACCTTCCATCTCCGCACAGCACTGTATGTATGTTGAACTTCCTTCTCACCATACGTAGCCAACCGTGCGAATCGGAGGTGCGGGGGAAAGACAACAAACTTAGCACAAAAAGCAGTTCTAAAGAATTGAGTTTTCAATTCTTGAGTTAAAAGTGCACACAAACATACAAAGAGGTTTTGCTTGTTTAAAACCAGATGTAATAAGTCACATTTATGTTACCAGCATTTCACAGCAGCATTGCTATTGTTGACACTACCCCGATTACACACCGTATCTAGTATATATAGTATTGCAATTTGGTATATTTTTGTTTGAAACAACAGCTAAACCTCTTTTAACACTTATTACACAGCAAACAGCAGATGTTGAGTTTATATGCAAATTCTTCATGAATATTTCCCCGCACATTAAAAAGCGCCACGGGGCATATCTACGGGAGCATTGTTGGTAAAGGCACAGCGCTGTGATTTGCTCGCTCGCACCACTGCTGGTGGAAGGAGCGCCACTAGATGGAGCTCTTGAGACCCCCCTCTAGAAGGTGCTTGGTCTACTCTTCCACGCAGGCCAGGCGTCGTGGAAGACGTGGAAGTTACCTACGCGTTACTGCACCGCACATGACCTACCGATCAATAACACTGGTCAACACACTTTTTCTGGAATAAGGTATTCCAACTGTTTTAAGGTAATTTTGGGGTGCTGATTCCAAATCTGGCATCAGTTTTTGTCTAGCACCTCAGGTTTTCTAGATATCAAATATAGCATTTTCAATAAAAACTGCAGAAGAAAAATATTAAATAAATGTGGATATCTACATAAAATGATATTATAAACACACTATCCTAAAAATACAGCACCAAATTTTAACACTAAAGCAGTCACTGACTCGCAACAACTTGCAATCGTAAGTGACAGAGTTAATTTTGGGTAAAATCAATGAAAATGCGGTATGCCGATAGCATAAAAATGAGATGTGATGGAGCAAATCTGAGATCAGATTTGGAATCAGCACCCTGAAATTAGTCTAAACAGCTGCAAAAGTCCAGGCCAGAAAAACATGTTTTTTTGTTGTTGATCAGTGTTGTCTGTGGTTGAACCCATTTATATTTCTGGGTGGACAGAGGCAGCGGGGGAGGGGCGCTGGTTAAGGAACTCACGCCGTTGTTTCAACCGCTGAGTCGAGCGATGGATTCAAAAGGGTGGCGACCTCTGGCTTTCAAGGCCAGTGTGCGGACCGTTGTACCATGACCTCTGGGTTTCAAGGCTAGTGTGTGAACCATTGTACCGCGACCTCTGGGTTTCAAGGCCAGTGTGCGGACCGTTGTACCGTGACCTCTGGGTTTCAAGGCTAGTGTGTGAACCATTGTACCGCGACCTCTGGGTTTCAAGGCCAGTGTGCGGACCATTGTACCATGACCTCTGGGTTTCAAGGCCATTGTGTGAACAATTGTACCGTGATCTCTAGTTTTCAAGGCCATTGTGTGAACCATTGTACCGTACCGTGACCTCTAGGTTTCAAGGCCAGTGTGCGGACCATTGTACCATGACCTCTGGGTTTCAAGGCCATTGTGTGAACCATTGTACCGTGACCTCTAGGTTTCAAGGCCAGTGTGTGAGCTATTGTACCGTGACCTCTGGGTTTCAAGGCCAGTGTGTGAACCATTGTACCGTGACCTCTGGGTTTCAAGGCCAGTGTGTGAACCATTGTACCGTGACCTCTGGGTTTCAAGGCCAGTGTGCGGACCATTGTACCGTGACCTCTGGGTTTCAAGGCCATTGTGTGAACCATTGTAACGTGACCTCTGGGTTTCAAGTCCAGTGTGCGGACCATTGTACCATGACCTCTGGGTTTCAAGGCCAGTGTGTGAGCCAATGCACCGCGACCCCTTGGTTTCAAGGCCAGTGTGCGGACCATTGTATCATGACCTCCAGATTTCAAGGCCATTGTGTGAACCATTGCACCACAGCAGCATCTCACATACCAATACGTACCAAAAAAAATGCTCTGGCTTACTGTAAAGTGCATTTTTTCCCCTTCCAATATGTGGAATGGCTTGCCAGCAATCCGACAAAAATGTTTGCAATGTGTAGGTCTTGGGTGGGCGGAATGTGCGTGGAAGAATGCGCTTTTCTTTTATTGCTGCGGTGAAGCGTGGCCCAGTGGCATGGCTGCCCTGTTGTGCTGAAGCTGGTTTTCCCGTCGTTTTATTTCAAGAGTGTAAATTAAAATGTGTCCGCGTGCATGCGCGATGACTAATGCACGTTTGGCCTTGTGGAAATGAAGTAAAAAAAATTGGCACGAACAAAAGATGTTGTCGTGAAGAAAAATGTATCAATGTCTTTTGTTGTGTGGCAAAATCACATTTAACCACATTACTGTGAAGTTTACGAACATTTTCCCACGATGACATATAGATTGAAACCACAGTTTAAATTGTATATTTAGGGCAATTATATTGGAGGCGTACTGGGATCAAAAATGAAACAATGAGGAAAATTGAAGCAGCCTGAAGTGCTTTTGAGAAACTGGACGTAATAATGCCAATGTGTGTACGTAAGTTGAACTTCTTTCGCACCGTACGTAGCCAACTGTGCTAATCGGGAGGTGCCCGATGAAGATGGTTGCTAATCAGCGTCTTAACGCCCGCGGTGATGTTTCGATCAGAAACATGGAGACAGACAAAGTTGAACGAATGTCGAGAAGTGCTGCTCAAAGGAAGCGTTAACGGAGAGGTGCACGCTGGGAATTTCACTCGGACCTGGTCCAGTGAACAAATGCCAGCGAGAGAGACCACATTGACTGTTATGAAAAGTTAAGCGGGCTTGGGCCAGGCGACGTCACGAGATGGATGAGGCAGCATCGATGGGCGAAACGGGTGATGGAATGGCGGCCAAAAGGAGAGAATGCGTCCCGAGTGGATGACCGCCACGGAGATGGAGGGATGACATTGAGGGATGTGAAAGGGATGACATCGAGCAGTGGTGCTTAACCTTTACTGCAGCCTTGCAGCCCCTTTGGTAGTTCTCAATCATTGAAACATACACATGTACAATACTCATAAATACATAGGGTTTGATGAAACAAAGTACATCTATATTCTTGGTTTTTTCGGTAAAGTCACGTTGAAGGGAAATAATAAAATAATTCAAATATAAAACAATAAAAATTCTCACGACGTTTCGACTGCAACACAAGCAATCATCATCAGGTGTGAAATCCACAGCAGGAAAATGTGAAAAAAGTACATGTAGTTGCACTTATGTGACCGTGCTTAATTTGCGTTTCGATTATTTACCTTCTGAAAAAAACTTTATCCATCACTCATTCACATGTTGGGGAGGGTGGAATGTCTTCGGATACATTAATTAAATTAGCTGTACGTGAAGGCAAAACAATAACGATGAATCCAACCACCGGCATCTCCGATTAGCACGGTTGGCTACGTGCGGTGCGAAAGAATTTCAACATGCATACATACTGCCCATAGACTAACACTACCCATAGACTCAACACTGCCCATAGACTAACACTACCCGTAGACTCAACACTGCCCATAGACTCAACACTGCACATCCAATTAGCACGGTTGACTACGAACGGTGCAAAAGAAGTTCAACATACATGCATACTTATGTTGCAAGAATAAATGGCGTGATCTAAACACCATTGAAGCCGCTATCGTTCGAAGCACAAATAATGAAGCGCTTATGAAGGAATGGCTGCTTGGCAGGCACGTAAAGACCACCAAGCCATTGGCAGTAGCGACACGGCCGTAAAAGCTCCCGTAAAATAAAAGCCTCTCTTCAAAAAAAAAAATCCGAGTTTAAGCTCCGGCCAGCACTCCTGCTTTTTTGAAACCCGTCGATAATTTGCACTTGAAGTTTGATTCCACCCGTCCCCAAAACGCCCTTGTTATTGTCCGTTCTACCATGGGTTTCTAATTTCCCAGAGAAATTGGGTAGATAATTTTAAACCACTGCAATGGTAAAGCAACGCTTCATTTCATTTGATATATGTTTGAAAGCACCCCCTGTTGAAGTGTGCCCGCGCTGCTTGAAGTGCCCAGCTTGGCATCTCAGGATTATGCAAATGCGGCGATGAAGCTCAACGGGCCACCGTGTCCTGTGTGTTTCACCAACAAGTGTTAATTGCCTGTGGGTAATTACATGTTCCAAATCTTGGATACCGTCACATCGTGATCATCCTCATTATTGCTATCATCATCATCTGCATCATCATCTGCATCATCATCGTCGTCATCACAACAACAATGACTATCTTTAGGCAGTTTTGCTTAAGTGGGTTTATTAGAGCTTATTGGTCTGTCGCCAATGAACGCCACTTGGGGGCCTCCTTATTCACGAGCAACAAGCAAACCATGGTCCATCAGCGAGTGCCATGGTTTCATCGCCCCTTTAGCCACCTCCTTTGGACGTCCCCGCACCTCAAAACGTCCAAAGTGTGGCTGCAACCGCAGCTCACACCAGGAACAACAACAACAACAACATGGTTCTGCAAGAATCTCTCTCCCCGCGTGGCTCGAGGCCAGCCTGGGTGGCAGAGCTGAGGCGCGTTGCCTCGAACACATGCTGGCTTTTGCACATGACTCAGCTCGTGCGAAAGAGAAAAAAAAAGTCCACAGCTAGGCCGAGTGCAGCTGTGCCCCGCTCCGCGGGCGGATGGCAAAAACAAACAAACAAACAATAACAAGTTGCCGAAAATGATTTCCGCTGTAGCCCAGGGAGTGGCAGCTTCTCTGCAAGGTGACCTTACGCATTAAGAAAGGGGGAGCCTGTGGTGTGTTTTTAGACTGTTATGTTCCGTTTAGGACACCGAGTCGTGCCAAGCGAGCTCAAGGATAATGACTTGCATTTATAGGGCACTCGCTCGAATACTTCAGCAACTCGAAGCACCTTGCATCAAATGTCATCTCAGAAATTCTGATTCCCCGCTGCAGTCTGGCCAAGGGGAACCCCCAGCGGAAGCTGCCCCCATGCGGCACAAAGGTGTTTGCAGTACCCGCCTGCAATTGGGTTTAGTCCACCGAGTAACAGAGATGGCGCAACCTCTCTCTCTCTCTGTAGATTGATATCAATTCTCAGGCGCACCATACGTGCATTCAAGAATATAACGTAAACATGCACATTACAAAAACGTTCCAAAGTGCTTAGATGTGTTCTGATCAACCGGCCATTTGATCAGATCAGGATTTCTGGTGCGAACACAGTTCGCGTCGGCAGGTTCCCTGAAACCAACTCCAGTGCCACAGCGTGATTTACATGTGTTCTGCTGCAAGGAATTAAAATGGGATGGCCTCCTGTCCAATTCATCCCCCCCCAGCCTCCTTATTTTGTAGGCCAAAGCCTGGGCCTCATTAGGCTACCGTGGGCCTCAGTGCAATTTTCATTGCCTGCACACTCAAAAGCTACACCGCTCGCCAAATAGCCCAGTGGCAGGAGACTCACATGTAGGCCTTGTAGTTGGCGCCTATCTTCTGGACGCGGATGTCATACTTGGAGTCGATGAAAGGCTCGCAGGTGGCGTAGGTCTGGGCCATGGCAACCACGCCGGCCATGTCCTGGAAGTCGTAATGGTTCTCCACCTTCACCTGGATGCACGTACAAAGAACCAAGCGCCGCCCGAGGTGGCAAGCGATGTGAATCTGACGTTTCAAGAAGTAGAGAGGCATTTTAATAAGTTTGCAACTTAGTTCTAGATTTGAAGCTTTCGTGACTGCAAGTATTCATATTCTTAGGTTTTTTCGGTAAAGTCACGTAGGTAAAAAATAATAAAATTAGGTCAAGTGGAATTTTCTGTGGGGGGGGTAAACACGCATTTGATCCGAGTGGAAATATCTTCGTCTCCCGACACCGCGACACTTGCGTCACCTGCTGCGTGCTTAATGTTCTATCACTCTGTGCGTGTCAATAGAGATCTACACAGTTATTTTTTGTGTTCTTCACGAGTATACATTCTATATGCAGGGTGCTTAGAAATGTTTTTAACACTTCTGAGAATTTGCAACAATACCACAAGACATGTGCCTCCGGGCTCTGGAGACCATCTGGAGAAGATTCCAGCCATGTGTTGACAACGATGGCGAACAAGTGGAGACTTTTTGAAGCTATTAACACACATTTATTATCATGTTACAGTGTATTATACGTTTTTTTTCATTAAAAACGATAGTCCCATAATAATAATTCACATTTTGTTGAAACACCGTGTATATCTTCTTGGTTCTTTCGGTAAAGTCACGTAGAAGGGAAATAATAAAATAATAAAAATAAAACATAATAAAATAATTCTCACGACTTTTCGGCCACAACACAAGCAGCCGTCCTCAGGTGAAGAACAGGTCCGTTAAGTAGACAGAGTCCGAATGGCACGCCCCAGGCTTGGAGCGACTATTTATGCTGGGATGGAGGGGCGAAGAGCGTCTTGACAAAATAATTTGCATATAAAGAGGAATTTAGCATATTTATGGGAAATGCAGATATGCGATTAGCACTACTTGTGAAATGCGTAGGAGGTTTGGCGAGGGGTTTAATTTAACCCGCCCTGTATATTTATATCAAAGACAAAGGGAAAACGTTAAATTTGGAGGCGTTTTATGCAGACAGCTACCGAGCTCAAGTCCTGGCCATACGCAGGGCCAGCGGAATGTTTCGTTAACCAATTTGTGGACCTCTCTTAGGTTCAGAGTCGAGAATTGTCATGGTACTCTACATGGCGTACGCATTGATAACCACGATAATTTACGGGCCCTTTATATCGCAAAGGCCCTCCCCATGTGCTGTTGGTCCCGAGGGTTGTTTGACTATACTTTCCCACACTAGTCAGTAGATATTGGTGAACGGGCGAGGGGTGACAAGTCACGGGCCAGAACAGACATCGTTAATCACTTAATCACTCCCGTTTTGCCATCGTTGGGGAATCGAACTCGGATTGCCAGGTTCACGGCGCACTGCGCTAACCACTGCCACATCCCCGAATGTTTTTCATTGTGTTTCCGTTGCTGTGCTCTGTCTGCGATGGTGGTGAAGAATACCACGTGGTACATCAGCTAAGATGGACAAGCCCCCTAAGGGATAACGTTATCGTGGGCACAATATTGACACACTCTTCCGCCTTCCATAGATTTGCCCACATAAAAGCCGGTGACCGCATTGGCTGCCGTGTGTCAAGACTGACTGACTGTTAGCAGAAAGCCAAACGGGGAGTACGAGAGAGAGAGAAAGAATTGGGTAGCGTAGTGGCTGAGTGAGTCCAGAGGGCGAGCGAGAGGGGGCAAACCTAAAAAATCTGCCCCGCAGAACATCTTGAATGTGTGTTACATAACCCCCCTCTGGCTCCTGCGTTCTTGCAATCAAAGTCCAAGGTTTGTCTTGGTCACTCAGTTATGAATCCGTGGCACTCTTCAATGAATGGCCCGCTCTGTTCTCCGAGTGGGATCTTTTATCTTCAAAGTCACGGATGTGAAGGTACAACGTGATATATATTTTTCATATCGTCAACATCCCTCCGGGGATGTCGAACGTACAAGTGCCACATTGTGGGGAAGTCAACAGTGGTTTTCCCATGGATATACTCGCCCCCGTCATAGGAACGTGGACTTTCCACTTCTGGCTCAGGGGCTGTAAATTGGAAATAAGGATTCCCCGCAATGCTCATTTGAGCAGCAAATCACTACGATTGTCGGCTCGGCTTGTCGAGTCGATCGTCGCTTTTTCTGCGTCGTGGCAATAAAACATGTGATGGCAATTATGGCCTCCTCGTGACTGCATCCCAAAGGAGTTCTTTTTTTTTAATGGGAATGCCTTTGCGATGACCTAAGTCACCCTTAATGTGCCGGAGCTTGTCAGATCTCAGAAGCTAGGCAGCATTAAAGCCTGTTCATTACTTGGACGGCTGATCATCAGTGCACACCAGGTCTCCGTCGTGCCTTCTGTCCAACCTGTGCGATCTTTCCCCAATATCCTGCACTTGGCCACCGCTTCGGGCGTTGGCATTGCCAAATCTCGAGGAGTGCACTGTGGTGCTGTTGCACGCCAAGTGTTGTCGGCATACTATGGGTGTGAGGGCTTTCAGGTGTTGTGGAGAGTGCAATGGATAGCAGCCCACTGATAGATTTGTGTCCGCTCACTGGACTGAGTCTGTTTTTTAATTGAATCCATCTGTGCAAGAGTTTCACTGTGAATCCCATCGAATACATCAGGGTTTCCCCCCCTAGGCATTCTAGTTAATTCCCACATGTCTGGCTAACGAATTGACATTCGTACCACAGATAAACACGTAACAGAATATGGATAGCAGAGAAACTCACGGAGTTTTCAGACCAATGACCGAACGATGTTGACTCATTAAATAAAACGCAATCCATCTTAATGCTCATTGATATTAGAAAGGTATATCCTGCACTTGATCAAGCGCTACATCATTATTCCGCTCCCCTGCTTTGGCTGAGCACCGCAGTGGTCCGTAGGGTGTCTGCAAGTTCATATCCCAAAATATAATTATTAATCCACCCTCTGTGGTCTGTTAATTAGTTACTTTTTTATTTCAAAAAGAACCAGATACAGAACATAAACCGGGGCACCACGCGGGCTAGATGTTAACTACCTCGCCTGGTATACAGGAGGTCGTGGGTTTGATCCCGACCCTGATGCCTGCTGTATATTTGAAGTTTGCATGTTCTCCCCGGATTTTTCTCCGAGGCCTCTGCTTTTTTTCCTCCCCATTTAGAAACAACACGCGTTTAGAGTATTTGGCTGCTAGAAATGTCCACCTGATAAGCCACTTCGTTCAGATATCATTTGTGGCCAGGTCGCTTCTGGAAGAGAGCTACACAGCTCAGTGGGCCTTGCCTGGTAAAATAAAAAAAAATAGTTGACTTTAGAGTTTCACTTTGTGGAAATCCTCCCGTTTGTTGCCTTACATGTGGAGATCTCCCGGTGTGGGGTTCCCATCACCGCCTCAGGTGCTGCGACCGATGACGGCATCGACCGCACGCCAGTAAAATTTCGATTTTAAGCTTTCGTGACTGCAGGGATTCATCTTCTTGGTTCTTTCGGTAAAGTCACGTAGAAGGGAAATAATAAAAATATAACGTGATAAAATAATTCTCACGACGTTTCGGCCACAACGCAAGCAGCCGTCCTCAGGTGAAGAACAGGTCTGTCGGAAAGACAGCGTCTGAATTTCAACGCAAGCAGCCATCCTCAGGTGAAGAACAGGTCTGTCGGAAAGACAGCGTTTGAAATTCAGTCTGAAATTCAGACGCTGTCTTTCCGACAGACAGCGTCTTTCCGACAGACAGCGTCTGAATTTCAGACTGAATTTCAGACGCTGTCTTTCCGACAGACCTGTTATTCACCTGAGGACAGCTGCTTGCATTGTGGCCGAAACGTCGAGAGAATTATTTTATTATGTTTTATTATTTTATTATTTCCCTTCTACGTGACTTTACCGAAAGAACCAAGAAGATGACTCACGCCAGTAGTCGCGGCGGGACACCGCGTTCGCTTGCGCCGAACATTCCCCGGACGTCGAGTGTTTTTTTTTGCGGGTGATAGCGGTCTCGACGCCGTCGAGTGACGCCTTTCAAATTGTTCCGATTTTTATCGGTGGCATGTTTATTTAAACATTTTTATTCAACCAGAGCCCCATACAGAGGGGCACAGAAACTCGAGGGACAAATATTCCAAGATATACGCCTCCCGAAATATGAAAAAGAAAGGAGCCGGAGAAGTTGAGCTTCAATGTCCCTCCCAGGTTGGGTTTCGGCGGCACGTTTGGAAAATATAAAAGTGTCTATATATTTTGCAAGCGCGCCGCAGATTCGAACAAGCGCGTGCGCCAACTCGGTGTCGATCAGCGGGAGACCGGTGTAAGATGCAGACGACGCACCTTGCCCATGCCGGAGTGAGCGTGGCCAATCTTAACCACGACCGGGAAGGTGGGCGCAGTCAGCTACAGCGGCGGCATAGAGACACACAACAAAAACACAAACAAACAAATCAACAACGGAACCGCAGGACGCATCAACATTGTCACAGACGAGAGATTAGTATCACGGCCTCAAGCATTCTTCTTTGCAACGTGTCTTGCTCCGAGGCATGTCGACGCTTCAGGGTCCTTCCATGCCGCCCGACGGCGCCTCTGCACATCACAAGTCAGAGGGTGCCGTGACTCCCTGCTCATGCAGAGAGCCAGTGGTGGAAATTCCACATTCATTTGGCGAAGGTGAGAGTCTCTCCATGGGACAAAATATTGTTGGCGCAAAAACTGGAACTCATTTTTATGATCCCCAAGGGATGATAGGCTGAACTCTTATAACAAAAAAATGCTGAATTAAACCAACGTTTCATGGTTTATTTCCGATGTATAGCATTATTTGAAGTTATATAACAATATTTGAAAAAGAAAAGAAATTGATTATGGGTAGCCATGTTCTATCCACTGCTAGATAAAGGCCTCCCAAGCCACCACCGGTTCTCACAGTTTTGCGATGTAAACAATCCACCTGGCACCTGTGCACGAGCTGATCTCACCGCTCCATCTCCACTCTAGTCGTCTTCGTGGGAGTGTTTGCTCCTTTGTCTGCCACTCCAACGTTAGTCTCAAACCACCGGCCATCACCCCTTCGAATGACTTGTCCTCAACGACCCCTTCCCGTTCAGATGACGTACACGTACATACGTCATCGGAACGGGACGGAACTGAAAGAAAAACTAGAATAAAATAACTTTATCACGACCGAGGCTCCTACAAGGCCACGCGAGAGGCGTGTGGCACAGCTTGGCGCTGGCTATCATAGAGTGTGGTCGTGTCGCTACAGTTCTCTTTGGTGAGTAAAATGTCTTTAAAAACAACGGCGCTACGCCTCTCTAAATACAATTAACGAGAACCACTTGCGCCTTCCGAGATTCAGTGGTGAATGGGACCCACCCTGCAACTTGCAGTTGTCTCGGAACGGGAAAGGGTTACAGGGTCAATATAATGTCTCTAACTTGCATATGTTATCGAATTCATGTGGTCCCCTTCTCGGTGTAATTCTCAGAGCATGCATATCACTATGGATTGGTGAGTCATGAAGGGCTGTAAAAAATCTATACCACGATGGAAGTCTACACCAGATGTGGAACCCGGCTTTCGTCGGTTCAACCCGCACCACCATACGCCCACGAACTTCACACACACATGCACACCCACTCACGTAGGCATGCGTAAGTTCCATACGGTTTAACATCCACGTCTGTGTTTGAGAAACGTCAGCGTGACACAACGCTGAGTCATGCTGCAGCAAAGGGGGAAGGTCATTTGATGGCCAACGCATTCACCTTCGGCCGAAGCCAATTTGCCCGTGCGTCGTTTTTTTGTTGTTGCTTCCAAGCAGCAGTGCGCAACACAGAGGTCAACGAGAGTGGACCCACGTCCAGACCACAAACGCTTCGGTGGGGGTGGTGGGGGGAGTGGAAGAAAATAGCGCAATCGTCGCGAGGCAATTACGTGGCACACCACCGTGAGCGTGGGAGAAGTTACTTGACCGCGCATTTACGGGCACAGCTTCGGACGAGGCGAAGGTTAAGGCGCTACGGCTCATCATTTCTGCAAGTGGAAGCCTGCGCGAAACAAAACATGAAATAAAAACAAAGTTTCATTAATTTCCAAAGCTATCTCACCCCTCACAGACACCGAACGCTGGCGCAAATGATGCCCTCTTGACAACCGTTCGTGGGAAAAAAAGCAAACTACGCCCCAGCACTGTGTCTCTCTCTCTTCTCTCTCTCACGAGGCCGCGTTTGTCTTCAATCTCCTCCCTGCACGCTCTGCGGGCACCACTATCCGCGTGGGCGTGCTCGCTCCGATCGCGCGCCGTCTGTCTGGGTGCTTCTGCGACGCGGAGAAATGTTGACGATCGACGAGACGATGGGCACGGTGCTGGGCGGAGGGGACACACGGGGGTCTCTATTCGTTTATGTGCCGGAAGTCTCGCTCAGGACTCAATTAGCGAATTCCGAACGCATGACAAGCCAGCTGCATCAATGTCGAAGGAAACAAAACAGACTGCCGTGCGCCATGTGCCAAATTAAATGATTCACTCACGGGATGGTGGGGGTGGCGGGGGGCCCCAGGGGGGGGGGTGGGGGTCAAGAGGTAAAAAAACAAATCTGCAGGCAGCCGAGCACAATAGCGTGTGCTTTAAATTGAAAACATCTATTTTCTTGTGAAAACAAAAGAGTCAAATGGTAATGAGAAGTCCTTTGAAACAGTCTGCCAGTGGCAATTGATTTTAAAATATATATACTGTATGTAGTGAATTAATAATCATATATAGTAATTACGTACAGCCCTTTGTCCATCCACTCCTGTTCATGTAATCAGGGTGAATGATGACTGGCTGCAAAGGGAACGTTCTAAGGTGCTGGGGGAAGAACAAAAACCGCGATATGACCAAACGTCAAACATCAATCACTGGCGGGGATGGAAGCTGTCTTCTCGGTTTGAAATCAGAAGCAGAATTTTTTTTATTTGTACCACAGGAATCCGATGAGTTGTAAAGCTCTTTTCTTTTCATGGTCATGCCCCAACGGCCCCATGTACCGAGGGATTAGATTCAGGGGTGGGGAACGTCCGGCCCGCGGGCCGTATAAGGCCCGCGAAATCATTTAGTCTGGCCCTGCCAAGGCAACCGCAGGTGGGACTCGAAATTCAATAACGGGCTAATTTTTAAGTTGATAATTTTGTATGGCCCGTGCATGATGTTGTAAATATCCAAATGGCCCTTGGTAGAAAAAGGGTTCTCCACTCCTGTCCATTAGAAGAAGAACTTGTGGGTTCAGTCCTCTGGCGGTCCTAGCTCCAAGATTGATGAGGCTATAAACTCCATCCCGGTATTTTCAGTGTCAGGTGAAAACGCGTGGACGTGGATTTCATTGAGAAACTGAAATGCCCTGGTAGTGGCTTCACCTTCAGAGCCTTCTCACACAGAGAGCTAGAGGCTCAAATTGAAACCCATAGATTTACGTATAGTAGCGACCTATAGACTCACACAGAGACCCCATAGATTCACACAGAGCCCCAACGGACTTGCATATAGATCTATACATTGTCACAGAAAGCCATAAACAGGAATGCTCACATGGACATATAGTAGCGACCTATAGACTCACGCAGAGACTCATCGACTGGAATGCCCCTGGCAGTGGCTTCATCGTCAGCACTTTCGCCAACAGACTTGCGCCTGGTCTAGTGTGAGCCCAACACTGGCTCAGCATCTCCACCACCATCATCTCCACCACCATCATCACCGCCACCATCATCACCGCCACCATCACCACTCGTTGCCTCTGCGCCCCAATGAGTCCACCGACATGCCCGTCATCTTGTAGCCGCGGGCTTCCAATTGGTACAAATCCCTTACCAACGGTATTCATTTGACAAAACGTGTTGACCTCCCATCATACACGCCAGGTACGTAGAAATCGATCGTTTCTTCGTTAAAATGTACGATTATGATCACGATACGCTAATTGAAGCATTTGTGAAATAATCACGGAATGAAATATGTATACGTATGTATACTAATATGTATACTATATGTCTACTTTATATGCAGATCTCACCTTTAGGATAAGAGTATGAATGAGACAGAACATAGTAGTCGGGCGATACAACTGAGACAGTGAAAACTGACAAAAAAATGGTGATAATTGATCGATCTTCTTGGTTCTTTCGGTAAAGTCACGTAGAAGGGAAATAATAAAATAATAAAAATACAAAATAATAAAAAAATTCTCACGACGTTTCGGCCACAACGCAAGCAGCCAGAGGACCAAAAGAACCAAGAAGATGAATCCCTGCAGTCACGAAAGCTTTAAATCGAAATTTAATGATGCTTCAACAAATCCCCTTGGCGGAGGGATCAATGCTATCCAACACCCACACAAGCAACGTGTGTGCCGCTGACGGGATGCTTCCTTAATGATGACCCGTCTGTAAAAATGCTTCCCAGTAACAAGAGGCAGAGCCGTGAATGAAACAGACAGGATCCCGGCTAATGAAGCTGACAGGAGACACGGTGCTGATTTAAACGAAAAAAAATTAACTCGTAAAAACAAAGTTTTTCACTATAAATCCTTTATATGCGTGGCGGCTAGAGTCCTCTCGTCCTCTGGCTTGAGATGGCTGCCACCTATGGGTCAGATGATTGTCTGCCACCATTAAGCAAATTGGTAAATAAATATTTTTAAAAAATTCCCTAACCATTGTAAAATTTTGGAAAAAAATTTTCACGAAAATTAATTGTCACGCACAACGAGTCTGTGTGCAAAATGTCAGCTCGATTGGATCACGGAAAGTGGGTTAAAAAACGACCGAAAGATTTGCACGGTCGTAAACAAGCAAGCAAGCACGCAAGTGAACTTAATATAAAGGATTTAAAAAGGGCTCACATGAAGATATTCCAGATGCAGTTCGAAGACATTCTGTTTCCGCAGGGCCTAGCTTTGTTAGATGTGAAGATGTGCTGCGCTAGGAGAGTACCGAATGCTTTTTTTATTTGTTTCTTTAATCATATTTCACACTGGTCACTAAGGAAGGGTGAAGACGGGCAACTAGACATGGGAGCATGGAAACACAGTACAACAATGGGATTTTGCTGCGCACTTCTCTGCTGCCCACCACATAACATCACAGCCGATAATATTTGTGATGTACGGTGGATTGCCCATTCAAGAACTATCTGGTCTCAACCCTGCTTAGTTACCACCATATGATGAGGTAAGGGGCATTTCCGAGTGATTTTGTCCATGACGTGACAATCGGACTAGATTTTAGAACGAGCGTATGAGAAATACGCAATCAATTATTAAAGGAAATTCAATCAGGAGGGACCGTTTAGATAGATCCATATATAGAGAGACTCCCACGTCGAACTATTGACGAGATTTGCTTTGGGGTGACCTTCA